GGATAGAATATGACTCTAAAAATGAAAAATAAAAAAATAATTTTTAAAAAACGGTTTGATAAGATGTTGGTTGAAAAGGGAAAAACTAAAATTAAAAAAAAAGAAAAGAAAAAGAAAGTTTAAAAAAAATTAACTTTGAAAGACTAAAGAATCTAGGGAAAAAAGCCATGAATTCTATGTGCAGTATTCCCCTAGCGCTGGAGTTCTGCTGTTCTAATTGGTCGGTTAACTTGGTCTTAGCTGGCTGTTCTTGCTGATCTTCTGGAGGAGGGGCCTGTTGCTGTGGTTCCCAAATGTCTGCAGGAGGAGGAATTGCCCTGCCCTTGCCGGGTCTGGCTAAGTAATCTGCTTGGGTTTGCTCTTGGGAGCTTTTGTTCCCTACAAGCTTTCCATACAGCTTTGGAGGATGAGAGTGAAAATGGCGGCCTCCCAGTCTCTGCCCCAGAGGAGCCAAGAACTTGGGGCCCCACTCCTCAGCGTGCCCCCAGAGAAAAGCAGTCAATCACTCCCATCTCCCTGGTCTCCGGCCGCACTCCGTGCTCACCCGGCCTGTGACCGAGCATTTCTAACTCTGGCACACGACCCCATGTGGAGTCTGCAAACCCAGCAGATCCCTGCGGTGCGCTCCCACACCTCTCCTCCTAGGGGAGGAAGGGGAGTCTCCCCGGATCTGCCTCTTGTTGGGTCCCTGCTGGAGGAGCAGTGGTCCGACTGTGCCGTGGATCACAGTTTATGGCAACCCCGAGCTGAGAGCCCTCTCCTCAGCTCCGTCTCTGCAGCCAGCTTCCCTGCTCCAACACCTGGGAGCTGTGCCGCACTCAGGCATCCCCAGTCTTTCTGTGCTCCCGAGGTTCCTGAGACCACACTGTCCCACGAGGGTTCCACCCCCCGCTTGGCCACTGGAGCGACATCCCTCAGTAGAGCCCACTTTTAAAAGTTCCGATTTTGTGCTCCGCTCTCTATCACTTCCGGGAATGGCTGACGGAGGCCCCCTCCCCCACCGTCTATCTTCCTGAATATCACCTTGGATTCACTTCTCCTCACGTCCTACCTTCCAGAAAGTGGTTGCTTTTCTTTTCAGAGTTGCTGCTATTCTTTTCTTTGATCTCCTGTTGAGTTTGTAGGTGTTCAGAATGGTTTGATCCCTATCCAGCTGAATTCCTGGGACCAGACGAAATTTAGGTCTCCTGCTCCTCCGACATCTTGCTCCTCCCAGACCAGAGTTTATTCTCTAAAAAGCAATAAAGATGTAAACATATAGAGGATGTTAGATGGTGGTGAGTAGGCATTGAGAGAAGTGGCTATCTTGGGGTGAGAGTTCCAAGCAGAATACCCATGTGAAGTAACTGAGGTAGGAGTGTGGCGGGTGTGTTTGGGCACACAGAGAGGCCACATGGTTGGTGAGAGAGGTGAATAGTAGGGTGGTGAGAGGTGAGAATCCTGGAATACAGAGGTTTTCCTGGACCAGGTCCACAGAGAAGAGATTGATCAGGAAAAGTTCATGAGTAGCACACACTTGAGCAGGTACTTGGGATACCAGACTCTTCCAAAGGGCCTTTCTGGTTTGTGGTCTGGACCATGAGGGGCACAGAGAACATGGTGATTGTGATTATGAGCAGTTAACCAAATAGTCCTGGGGCTAGAATGAGTGTACCCAGGGGGGGTGCAGGAGTGGAAATTGGGGAGAAATGGACAGCTGCTTTGTGGTGGAGAGGCAGATGGGAGAGTATAGAAGGCTTTTTGTGCTGGGTAACGGAGTTTGGATGTAGAGGTGAGGAAATTTTAAACAGAATGGTGTAGGATGGGGGGTTTGCTTTGACAGTGTGAGGGAGGATGGATAGAAGGAGAGGAGACTGAAGGCATGAATGTAGTTACACAGAGGAAGTTTGGCTGTCTGACTTCATGTGGGGGCTGTGAGGTGGGAGACATTTGGTTTCAGAGAGGTTTGGAAACTAGACACAAATGAGTCAGTAGATTTGGGGACAATGTGAAGGGGGAAGTGGGGACTACGGAGAGTCCTAGGGTTTCTCTTTTGCCATTTGTTTAATTGTAGTAGAAATATTGATAATTATATGTTATTTCCCAGTTGTCATGATGCTGTGTAACACACTGTAAGAAATCTCAGTGGCATATAGCCATTTATTTAATTTGGGCATTAAGGGAATTTAGCTAATCTAGGCTATATTTGGCTTCTCTTCTTTTTTTCTTCATTTTTCCAGTTTTATTTTTTTATTTAAATTCAATTAGCTAACATATAGCACATCATTAATTGCAGATGTAGAGTTCAATAATTCATCAATTGCAAATAACACCCAGTGATCATGTAGTTGGCTATTCTTTTTTTAAAATTAAATTTAATTTTTTTATGTTAGTCACCATACATCATTAGTTTTTGATGTAGTGATCCATGATTCATTGTTTTTGTATAACACCCAGTGCTCCATGCAATACGTGCCCTCCTTAATACCCATCACTGGGCTAACCCATCCCCCACCCCCCTTCCCCTCTAAAACCCTGTTTGTTTCTCAGAGTCCATAGTCTGTCATGGTTCATCTCTCCCTCCGATTCCCCCTCCTCTTCATTTTTTCCCTTCCTTCTCCTAATGTCCTCCAGGCTATTCCTTATGTTATGTTGTTAGTCACCATATATAGTACATCATTAGTTTTGATGTAGTATTTGATGATTCATTATTTGCATATAAAAAACACCCAGTGCTCATCACAACACATGCTCTCCTTAATACGCATCACTGGGCTACCCCATCCTCCCACCCCCTCCCCTCTGAAACCCTCAGATTGTTTCCTGGAGTCCATAGTCTCTCATGGTTTGTCTCCACCTCTGATTTCCCCCCCTTCAGTTTTCTCTTCCTTCCCCTAATGTCCTCCGTGCTATTCCTTATGTTCCAAATATGAGTGAAACTATATGATAATTGACTTTCTCTGCTTGACTTATTTCACTTAGCATAATCCCCTCCAGTTCCATCCATGTCAGTGTAAATGGTGGGTATTCATCCTTTCTGATGGCTGAGTAATATTCCATTGTATATATGAACCACATCTTTATGCATTCATCTATTGAAGAGTATCTTGGCTTCTTCTGCAGTTTGGCTATTGTGGACATTGCTGCTATGAACATTGGGATGCATGTGCCCCTTCTTTCCACAACATCTGTATCTTTGGGGTAAATACCCAGTAGTGCAATTGCTGGGTCATACGGTAGCTCTATTTTTAATGTCTTGAGGAACCTCATACTGTTTTCCAAAGGGGTTGTACCAGCTTGCAATCCCACCAACAGTGTAAGAGGGTTCCCCTTTCTCCACATCCTTACCAACATTTGTTGTTTCTTGCCTTGCTAATCTTTGCCATTCTAACCAGTGTAAAGTGGTATCTCAATGTTGTTTTGATTTGAATTTCCCTGATGGCTAAAGATGTTGAACATTTTTTCATGTGTCTGTTAGCCATTGATAGCAGTATTTGGCTACTCTTACCTGGGTTTGCTCATACATCTTTGGTCATGTTGGGGAAATATAATTAAAAGGAAATCTCTGAGAAATCTTCTTCACAAAAATAACAGGAAAGAATACTCTTTTATTATAGAATAAGATTTACCATAATGTGATGTGTATCATAGACAATCTTTGAAGAGATGCAAAGACAAAGAAAATCACCCTTTTTCATAGCCATGCAGACACAACTGAACACACGTGTTCTCAGTTCTCAGTAGACAGTTACTAGCTCTCAAGTAAGTGGACATGACAGCACCAACTGTCACAAACAGATCACCCTAAATTTACTTGGTAATTTGGGTGACAATACTATGTTAGCTAATTGGCTTCATCCTGAAAAAAACGCATTCTTCAATCTTCATGACAGGAGGTGGTCTTACATGTGGATCCTGGTGCCCACTGAGGTTAGGCTCCTACCCTGGCCAGGAAGAGGGAGAGAGGTGTGCTGTCTTCCTTGGTGTGAGCAGTTCAAAGGGAAGATTCCCAGGTCCTTGGGAAATACATTCTTGGATTACAAAGCTGGCTAAGGGCCTATCTGTGTTTTTCAATGGACTTATATACATTTCAAAGAGGGGGAGAAAGCACCCACAATCACATGTTTCCTCAAGTAAATGCTAAAAGAAAAGGATAGGAAGGGGCTCTCTTTCCTTATTTTCAACAGGGACAATAAGCCCCTTACTTTTAATATATTTTGCTCTGACAGTGGACCTTGGCTGGGTTTGCTCACAGAGCTGTTGTTCATCTGGCTGTTGGCTGGGCTAGGACAGCTGCAGCTGGAAAGGCTGTGCTAGCCTGAGCATGTCCCTCCCGTGGCAGAAGGCGAGGCAATGGCACAAGCAGTTCCCAACCTCTGCTAGAGTCACATTCCCTGAACTAGCAGTGGCTGAGTCAAGTGACAGGATGGAGCCCAGAAGCAGAGTGTGAAGTCACTAAGAATATGTGGCAGAGGGCGAGCTGGATGTAAAAAAGGCTGAAGGATTTGGGAATATTTTCATCATCAGCCTATCACAGATGGGGCCAAACATGAATTAGTTCAGGATTTGAGTTTGGAACATCCGTGAGCAACTCTGGCAGAGCTAACCCAGGGATGTGGATATTAGGAAGGGAGCTCAGGAGGTAGGTAGGGTTGGTGAAGGTGGAAGTGATGTACCAAGTGGCAGTGTGTGTGCAAGCAGATGTCCTGGAGAGTGTGTGAGGTGAGAAGAGCAGAGAAGGATGGATGCTGAGACCAAATTCCTCTTTCTGTCACTCTGGGGGATGGATTTCCCACCCTCATGGTTGGGGAGAAGAGTCCTGCCCTCTGTATCTGCTCAGGTGCCCATGCTCCTTCCTTCTATTTTCTGTGGCAGGACCCATGTTTTGCTCCCTGCTGTGTTCACTCCTCAATGAGGCCTCCAGAAAGCAATGCTGGCCTTGGAGTTGTGCATGGGAAGGCTCTGCTTGCATCCCTGGGTTCTGGGTGGCCTCCCTGTGCTCTCTAGCTTCTCTCTTGCAGGTGTGGGCTCTGGCCCTCAAGTGCACATCACAGGGCCAGAGGAGGATGGGGTCCGAGTGGTGTGTAAGGCGTCAGGGTGGTTCCCAAAGCCCCAGGTGCAGTGGAGAGCCCTCAGTGAAGAGAAGTTCCTGATGTTCTCTGAGATCCATGTCCAAAATGCTGAAGGGCTGTTCAGTGTGGAGGCTGCTCTGGTGGTGAAACACAGGTCTTCAAGGAATGTGACCTGCTCCCTCCTCAACCCAATCCTGAGCCAGGAGAAGGCAATGGCCATTTTCATCCCAGGTCTGTGCTGTTTCCCTCTCCCAGTAGGGCCATAGGGAGGGGGTGGGAGTCCCTGGGTGTGCTGGGTGTGCTGTCCTGGGCTGTGACCCTGACTGTGTGTTTGACCGGACACAGAGGACTTCTTTCCCCAGACTTCTCCCTGGATGTCAGCTTTCATGGGGATCCTGACCTTGATGATGCTCTTACTCCTTGGGACTGCCTACTACACCAAGAGAGAACATACTGCAAAGTGCCAGGAGATGCAGGAATGGGAGAAACTCCACAGGGAAAAGGAGGAGGACCAGTGGGCAAAGGAGGAGGCACTGAAGGCCAGAGGTAAGGCAGGACAGTGGCCAAGACCTGTGAGTGTGGCAGCTGGTGCGGAGGAAAAGTGGACAGAGGGCCCTTGCCCTGGACTGGGTGGCTGACGAGGTCCAGAGAGGACAGCTGGAGCTGTGGAGGCTCGATGGATCTGGAGCTATAACTTCTAGGGTACTGAGATGAGCATTTGTGGGTTTGTCATGTGCAATGTTGGCTGTTCTTAGAGATGGGAGTTCATGTTTACTTCTCCCTCTCTTTCAGATGAACTCCAAGCAGATCTTGGTAAGTTCTGCTCTTCCTCTAGAACTTTCTGTGTCTTCTTAGTAGGAGACATTCTGGTTCTTAGCTCACCTGTTTCCTGTGTTGCCTTTCAGACTGGAGGAAATCTGTTTACCTGGCTGGTGAGTGACTGTCCAGATGTCCTTGGGTCTCTTGTTCCATCTAAGTCAAGGTGTCCCGTCTCCTTGTTTCAGGCAGGGACTGAGGACCCTTCCCTGGGGCCGAAGTGGAAGCTGGTGGGAAGCAGAACCCTGTTCCTTGAGCTTTCCTCAATGTGGGCCACTGTTTCCCACCCAGTGCTTGAGAACCTGGGGGTGATGGTGGTCCCTGGAGTCTGCCGTGCATCTTGGGTTTATTCCAGTGCTGACCTACCTGCCATATTGCTAACTTTTTAGCCTTGAGTGCAACTAGTTCTGTCAGCACTTGGAATCCAAAAGCCAGCTGCTCTGAGATTTTAGTAAAGGAATTATATAAATTAATGTGGTCATTAAGGTTAGGAGTGTGACCTCAGCTGTATAATACCACCTAGGGAGAGTGTGTTTTCTCCAGTTCCTGGGAGTTGTGATCACAGAGTGATGGGTAGAGGTCTGGACAGACTATGTGTGAGAATGTGGTGGAATGAGCTGTCAATGCCCCCAAGTAACGATTGTGTTATCTCAGAAAGATTGGCCACTTTTACCCTAGAGTTCATCTCACACCCCTGCCTGAAATCACCTCTCCTTTTGGGTTATTTCTCAAATATCTCTGTGCTCAAAATCACTGGGTTTAGTAATGATTTTTTTATAATTATGGAATTTTATATATTTAATCCCTATAATCTTTTCATACAATGTATATCAGCACATGGCAGGAGGTTTTCTCCTCTCCAGCCTCTCCCCACTCTGCAGCTAGTGTCACCTATATTCCAGAGGGCAGGCAAGGGTCAGTAGACCAATGCTGAGCAAGCTTGCTCTGACTGAGGTCTCACCAGGGTGTGTTCCTTTTCAGCCTGGAGGAAGGCACAGCTGTATGCAGGTATGTTACTCAGTTTCCTGTTACCTTACCTCCCCTGGCTCAACTCAGCCCCCTTCTATGTCATGGACCCCACACCAGGTTGGGGTTGGTGTCCCTGCTCCCCTTGCCACTTTTGTCTTCTTTCTCTGAAGACTGCAAAGACTGTCCTTGGGAACACAGATCTGCCTCCATTCTGACCCATCCTTTACTGCAGGTCACTGTTAGGGTTAGCAACACTGAACTCTGAACATACTTTGTTCAACTCATAATTTTAATTGGTGCGTTGACAACAGAGAAGTCATTTATAAGAAGAGTCTGGAACAGGGTAGTGACTGTATAATTCAGAAACTGTTGTTTGTAGAGGATTTCAGAAATCAAGCTTTCCTGCTTAGGACTCAGGTCTTCCTAAGTGGATCTTTGGTTCTGAATCCATTTCACCCCGAAATTCCTACTTTTTTGCCTGTGGTTTTGGTTTTCCTGTTTCTTGCAAACCTCTGGCATGTTGGTCTTCATTTTGCTTCCTCATGCTCTGACTCCCTGTCCAAACTGGGTTTCTTCCTTTAAATGTGCTTAGTTGCTGAGGAATTAAATACTTTAGCGCAGGTGTTCTGAATCTGAGATCCAGAGCCGCCAGAATATTTATGGATTCCTGGGGGGGTGGGGTCTGTGAGCCACCTGCAATTATATACAATATCTTTTGTATATTTTTGTGTAACAAGAGCAATAACATATATATTATAATCATATATTATTTAATATGTATTGTATATTAAATATTTAACATGATTTATGATATATATGTATTTTTAAAAACAGCTACTAATATTTTTTCACAAATATTATCCTTCCTTTTAGGAGAACATTGCACTTACCTGATGGGCTTGAACTTGGTCAGGTTTATTAGAGGCAATGCGTGAAGATTGCAAAAGGAGAAGCCTAGAGGAGTTAAAATTCTTTACCAGAAAAAGTGAGGTTCAAATCAGGAAAGAAAAAATGTGTTAGGAGAAGAGCAAGGGATGAGAAGGAAAGTAGAGAGCCTGAGATTCCTTTGGAGAGATTTTGGGCAGATAAGAGTGGTAGAAGAGAGACCACAAATCATAGCCGTGTTGGTTTGAGTGGGACATACACAGAGGGTGTGCAAGTTATTTGCATGTATGAAAAGTAATAAACTCCTGACACCTGTTTGAGAGATTTCTGAAAGGACTTATATTTATTTTAAGCAATTTGGAAGTAATCATGTAACCAAGTTTGCCTCTGATAATGAGATCATCTTGATCTAGCAGCATTGGGATGGAAGTGTGGTGTGGGGGATCCTAAAGCAATGAAAAGTTATCCAGGGGATCCTCAGTACTTGGAGGAGTTAAGAGTCTGTGCCCTTTGAACCTGTGTAATAGGTGCTTTTTCTTTTTGGCTGTTTCTATTTATGATCAGGGATATAGACTGTGAGAGCAGAGAAGGGGAAGCCAGAGGTGAAGGAGGCTGGGGGTCCAGATGTGTGAGGCTCCTTAGAGAACTTCAGTGATTATTGGGATTTATGTGAAAAATGATGATGAAATAATCATCTTTAGCATCTCCCCCTTCCCTGATGAATTGATGTGCATGATTTATTTGTTTATTGATTATTTATTCATTATTTTATTTTATCCTATTTTATTTTTATTTATTTATTTATTTATTTATTT